CTGGGATATACATAGTGCAGTTGTTTGCATTCCTGGCAGTAGACTCCGCATGCATGCGAGAACTGACGTAGAGATGAGTTGTGTTGATGGTGAAGTGTTGTGACTGTTAGGGAGAGGGTAAATATGTCAGACACAAACAGTTTAAAGAGTGAAGGCCTCCCTTTTATATTTTACACAACAATTTGCAAAAGGCTGCGTAAATGAGGAATTCAGTGCTGTGGGTACTTCACATAAGTCCACCTGTAGTGATAAAATACATTAAAATGCCTTCTGTTAAACTGTTTCTCTGAGTACTACCGCTGTGATTTGCCTGTCCTCCTGCATGAGCCAAGCCAGCAGACATGTTTGACTTTATTTCACATGTACAGTATTGTATTCTTTTGTTATGAGAAATCCACATTGCCCAGTAATACATCCCAAAAACATATTTTTCAGAAACATTACACATAAAGTAAACACAGAATACAGATACAGATCAACGAAAGAATACCTCTCTAGCATGTAAGATGCACTAGGCTGCACTGCAGTGCATACAGTATGTACAAATAGTCTACATACACTAGCGTATAGATATAAATATGTACACATTTCTACATATATGAAACTTCTAAAAGTTCTAAATAAATAGCATGGAGCCAATTGGTTTCCTACATTTACAGGGTACAACAAACGTGGCCAATATCACTAAAATGTTAAGTACAGGGAAACGACAGTACAGTAGTTACAAATCTAATATATTAATACATTTTATTTATTTTGCTATTGACCAGGAAGAGGGGAAACAGTGCATCTGAAAAAAAAAGTTTGACTAGACTACAGTGAAAAGTCCATATTTTATAAATAAGTAATTAAAAACAGCTTTGTATCTTCACCTTTTTTCCAGTCCCCCTGGCCATGGATGATGATGGTTTTGCACAAATCTGTAAAGAGAAGTTTGTTTTTCACCCGTTGTTATTCTTCCCAACTGTTTTTTGTTGGAGGGGTTCGTTGCTCTACCTTCCCCTTTAAAATACTCGAAGGCATTTTATTGGATTGAGATCAGGGAACACATTTATCCAGGCCATGGTTTTCACTTGTTTCTTCTTCAGAAACTGTTATTTTTGCAGTGTGTTTGGAAGCATTGTCATGTTGGCAGATTCCTCTGCTTACAAACTGGGCCTGAGATGGGGAGTCATCTTTTCGTTGGCTGTCTGGGCATACAAACTTGCATTCATAGTGCCACCTCTAAATGTCATCTCCTCTACGCCTTTGCACTCATGTAGCCCCGTATCAACACACGCCCACCTCCGTGTCTCACGGTCTGTCCTGTCACAGTGGCTGTCTTGACCAGGCCCTGACAAATTAGCCGTATTTTACTTTCAACTGACCACACAATGTCCTTGTTTTTATGTATGCAAGTTTAATCTTGTGGTTTTTGTTATTCTATACCTGCATACAACCAGTATACAACAAAAGTGAACTCAGCAGTATAACAGGGAATACATACTGTGTGTAGTACACATGAAAAATATTGAAATTCACTCCTCCAACTTTGTGGGCCCTTAGCTTCCGGTTGCTCCGCTCATAAATCACTGATGTCTTCATCCAGTCACAGCTGGAGACATGAGCATGGACATGAAGTGGTGTGTATGCATGCAGATATGTCTGTGTGAAGTGTCAGTGAATAACATTTTGAGTATTTGTGTTCACATGGCTCCATGAAACAAGGTGAAAGAGGAGATCAAAGCTCTGCTGGGGGCCACACTCCCCTCCCTCCCTCAGATTTGGCTCTGAGGTTAATACTACAGAGGATGGTATTTTTACACACAGACACACCGCTGACACTTTACTTGTTCTTCTACTTGTTTTACCTGAAATGGCATAGATTACTGGAATCACAGTGTTTACTGCACTTATCTGTTGTAGGTGAAAGCCTTTAAATAATTCAGCCTCAGCCCAGTGAACACACACGTGCACACACTGCCCTGGGCTCCTGTCTGTGGGTTGAGTGGGGCCGCTGACGGCTGATTAATCGACGTGGGCGGCCAACTCATGACAACTGTGGCTAATGACCTGCTGAATAATTCACTGGGCCTTTGCTGGAGAACAGATGGAAGGCCTACACGTACACAGACATGTTCACTGGCAGACTTGTACACACTTGTGCACTCATGCATTTATTTTTACACTCATATGCATATATTCAAATATTTGTGGACACACACACACAAACCCTTCCCCAGCCTCCACACACCCGGGGCTGTCTGTCTCTCCTGTTGACACCTGGGGTGCTTCCTGTCAGTGCCGCCCTTGCTCCTTGATACCACCATTCAACCCACTCACTATCTAAACAGAAAAAAGTTACCAGATACTTTTATCTCCAACCGTTCTGGCTATCAATTCTGATTTCATTCCTCTCTTCCACTGCTTCATTTTTTTTGTTTCACTCTGGACCTTCTCAGTTTGTGTTTGTATTTTAAACACTACTGGGATGCCGCTGGGATCTGAATGTAGCTCTGTTATTCTCAAATCACAGATCACTCGAAGTAAAGGTCAACTGTCAAGGTTTAACATTCACAGTAACTTTTAATAGATCTGATCAGCTGCCCTAAATCAACTGCGTACAGCCTTTGATACTGCAGCCAGGTATCTGTCTGCACCACAGGGAGCCAGAGTCAACTTTCCTCCTGTGTGCATAAAAGCATGGATACACATGCACTGCTGGAAAGTGCAGGAATGTATATCAGTCGTTTTTCTCTTTCTGTGTGTGTGTGTGTGTGTGTGTGCCTCCGTTCTCTTCTTTCTGTGTTTAAATTCCGTGCATTTGAAGTATGAAGCCTGCATTGCTTTGTGTTTCTGAGAGGGAGCAGTAGCCAGTGATTAGACCCTGCTTCCCCTGTGTCAGCACTGATAAGCAGGGCCAGGCTCTCTTTGATATGGCCAGTGGGCTGTCAGAGCCCTGGTTTTAACTGACAGCTTATCTGCATGCCGCTCTCCTCCCCTGTGCTATTCACCGGATGGGAATTGAACCCCACTCAGTCGTAGCACAACACTACGTGAAACGCTTCCTGTAACTTTAAAGGAGGGACAGGGTACTTGAGGCAGTGATATTGTTGCCCAGATAACTGTGTCAGTGTTATCGAGCTGTCAATGAATTTTTAAAAAATGGTTTGTAATGAGTCTTGAGGAGGACAGTGCAGTGAGACTTCTGATTTTCTCTGTTTTATTGTTAATCAGGATTATTTACTTGTGTGTACTTTGAACGAAAAATGTGGAAAGATCAGTTTGATTTAAGGACTCAACACATTTTGGTATAGTGCATATGGATATAAAGCTTTTGTAAATCTAAGCCATTGTATGTGTTAGGGCTGGGTGTCAAACCATAATAGTTTGAGTATTTAGTCTTTTTAATCTTATTTATTGTTCAGATATTTCCTGCTCTAACTTTGGAAATATTTTACTGAAGGAAAAAATATTTTGTAGGTTGACATTTCAGATGTAATGGAATAAATACAAACTACTAGTTTTGTGTTTGCTACCAAAACCCAATTGTCATGTTGGCAAGGTATCAAAGATTTCAAAATAATCTGTTTATATTACTGGTTGTGCTTGCAATTTTTGAAGGCTTGAATTTAATTACATTTTTTTTTTGTTTGTGCTTCGGAACCATTCACTAAATATGGGCTACGTTTTTTTTTTTTTGCACCAAAAAAAAAAGTACCTTGCATTGCAGGTAACAGTAACTACAGATGTGTTTTCATTGTGAAAATCAAATCATCCACAAAGTGCCCACTGAAGTCAGTCTAGGAAAAAAGTGAAGATTGTTTTCTCCACAGAGCTGTTGTATTCTGTTAGAGGTAGATATGGACAAGTAAACAATTAAATTATTAGTCCAGGTGTCCCACTGGTTTATGGCAACATGAATGTGGCCATTTTAAAGTATTTAGTGTCAGATATGTGTAGTTATTCTTCCAGGCTAATGGACTGATTAGACTTTGTGTTATTAAAACTGTACTGTGTTCATAAAAGAGAAGTTTGCTGTGAACTGGCATCATCAGCATTTTCTTACAATAGTTCTGTCATTTTGTCTCATCTCTTTACAGGAGTGTTGTTGTTGCACCCAAGAAAGTGGGCATGACGCCATCTCCAGGCACGTCCACCCCCGTCCCAGCAGCAACTGCTGCCTCTGTGTCTGCTGGGACACCTGTTGACAGCGTTGCAGTGGTGTCTTCTGGCGATGCCTCCCAGAGTAGCTCAGCAGATTCTGCAGCAAGTGAGTACACACACTGCTCACTCAATCACACTCAAATATTGGGATGTGAGGGCAGCTAACTTATAGACTAGACTAGTTTGGTGAGAAAAAGTCTTTATTTAGAGATGGTGTTCGTCTGAGAGTAGAATGATACTGCTGTGTTTGTGCAGTGTAATCGTCATCAAAGGCTTGAGAGGACAGTGTGAAACATTTCACTTACACCAATTCAGTTGTAATTACAATAATATTTATAGTCTGTTTTATAGAGAAAGTAAAAAAAATAAGTCAGACTTAGAAAAAGACATAAAATGAAAATAAAAAACTAAACAGTCTACGGTACATTGTACATTAGGAATTTTATATTACAGTACTTTCTGGTACAAGTATGAATTAAGGTAAATGATTAAAATATTTTCAGTCAAACCATTTTTATTTCAACTTTATGAACACTAATTTTGATTTCATTGATTCAGTAGTGACTGTAAATAATTAGGCATTTTTGGCACCTTGTATAAATGTATAATATGTGTGAGGGACTGATGTGAGAATGGGATTTGTGTGTTTTAGGAATGTACAATCAGGTTGGAAATATGTGTTTATGTGGAGTGTGTGTGTGTGTGCACACATGTGAATAATGATTTTTGCTAAAGCTGTATGTATAGCTGTCTCGGTGTCAGTGAGCGGTGTTGAGTAAATACACTTTGAGTATGTGTGTGTTTTAGTGGGGCAGTGGGAGGACTAATGGAGACGTTCATTTACTGCTTTTTGTTTGAAGGGGCTACTTCAGCTTGAGAGGGATACTCTCACCAGGCCCACATGGCGCTGCTTAACACCTTACACACACACACACACACACACACACACACACACACACACACACACACACACATTCCAGCCCACATTACACTGTCTGTCATTCCTTACGAGTTATCCCTGCTCGGAGACCGTCTTAGCTGAAAAAACAAGCCTTCTGAAACACCAGAGGAATTCCCCCTCCTCCATATTCAGCTGGGCATTAGCTTATTTATGAGCCATAGGGAAGTGAATTTACTGCCAGATCAATCAAACATGGACTTTTTACCTTGTGTTCCTCTGTCTCCAGAATGGAGTCATAAAGCACCTTTTAGATGTATAATGAAACGGTCACAAAAACAGCCCAGAGGGGTAAATCGGTATGTAATGACTTGGAGGAAAAAAAACAGTTTAAAAAATTAACAGGAGGGTGTAAAATCTGACATTCCAACACAGGTGTGACACTGGAAGAATTACTTACTTCTAACTAGGGTTTTAAACCTTTTTAGGAGTGCAGCCCTCTTTTAGGATGAAATTATTTTACAACCCCCCACCCAAAATGCCAAAAAAGCACATGCCACAGTCACCAGTTTAACTTTTTAATTAAAAAGGGTGCACGCTGATCTGTAGGCTCTCTGCTGGACACATACTGTACATACATGCTCTATAGGAGCCGTTTGGTTTCAGCTTTTACAAAGGGCAACAGATTTTCAAGATGTCGCAGTTCTGCAAGTTTCTTTTCTGCTTGTTTAACACATGCGCTCATTCTCTCTTCAGCAGTGGCAGGTTTTGTTGCCCATGTCGGGCGTTGTCATCTTGCCTGCTGTGTCCATGTCTGTGAGCGCAGAGGAGAGAGCTCAATTGTCATCATTATTCATCTTAAAATATTGTTACACTGCTAACATTTCTTCTCTTCTGCCTAACGACCTGCTCAACCAGTGTGAGGTTAATGTAATGTTGCTATTAAGTGGTATCAGTGTGTAGTTTCAGACATCTTTCGGTAGTATGAGTACTAGAGGGTGGTATCGACCCAATACCTGATAATTGGTATTGGGACATTGCTACTTCTAACAAATACACTGTACTTAATATTTCACATGCTTGATATATGACTGAAATATAAAAGAAATGCCATCCAGAAACGATTCACACTGTTTAAGGTATGATTGTAGCTGAAAACCTATCGGCCTTATACAATGTAAAGGTTTCCATCATGAAAATCTCTGAATTGTAAATTGATAAGGAAGACACGTTGGGAGTGCATCATCCACTATGCAGCTCTTCAACCATTAAGCCCCGTGTTCTGTACATTTGAATGGAGACCAGTGTATAATTTCATCAGAAGCATATTTTCACACAGGTCTATGCTGCAGCCTTGGTTGTATAATGTATTTCTCTGTGTGTGTGTGTGTGTGTGTGTGTGTGTGTGTGTGTGTGTGTGTGCATCCTGCATCCTATTCTTGTCCAACATCCAGACTAATAACAGAGTTCTTTGGTTTCTCCCTGCAGCAGGCGGCCAGGTTCCAGCCAGCCCTAGCCTGCCATCTGTCCCCTCGCTCTCCCCTGTGACCCAGAACACAGCCCCCAGTATGAGGTGATTCATCTTCCCTTCTCTCTCACTTTCTCTCTCACACACACACACACACACACACAGTCAGCTATTTTTTTTTTCACATGAGCATACACAGTTATTTATGCATATTTGGTTATTGTTGCCTTTTCCTAATTCCATTTTTCCCCTACCACATTAAAACCAGATACTTTACTGAAGCTCTTTTTTAAAACTAGATGTTATTTGGAGCTGCATGACGTTTTATATTTCTCATAATGTACTCTGTTCATGTGTTCATATGCTGTTTGGATTACTTCCTCACATTTTTAGTATCTCAGAGCGTCTGGAGCATGCTCTGGAGAAGGCGGCTCCTCTGCTGAGAGAGATCTTTGTGGATTTTGCCCCCTTTCTCTCTCGGACCCTGCTGGGCAGCCACGGCCAAGAGCTTCTCATTGAGGGCACAAGTGAGTTCAGAATCATAGTCACAGTGCAGATACACACATAGACTGGTTCATACTGTTTTTTTTTCCCTGAAAATTTCTTGACGTTTTCATGATTACCCTCACAGGATGTCACGTCTGTGCATTTTACTGTACAAATGCCATTTTCATTTAAATTCACCAACATCTTTTGCTTGTTAATCCAGAGCTTTTGTAAGTGTATGATGGGCCAAGAGCTGGTAGTAATGCAGAAGCTTTCCAATGGGCCAGGTCAGAGGCCAGGCCACTAATAGCAGTGTTTTGGATGTTTGCTGCCACCAAACAAAATGGAAAGTTGATTGATAGCTGCAGGGGGGGCCTGAAGAGAAGCCAGGGGGAGGTGTGTCTGCGTGTGATGCTTGTGCATGCATGTGTGTATGTGTCATATGAAGAGCAACCGAAAGACCAAAGGCTACTCGTCCTTCTCTCCGTCTGTGCCTCTGCAGCAGACTGTGGACACTCTAGTGGCCCCCTGCCCTCTAAAAGCCTAGGTCTCGCCATTAGGGATCAATGGGACATATGCTGGCCAAGTCAGGCCTGTAATACAAGGCCCAAATATGTATTAGTTTACAGTAACATCATGTCGGCTCATTAGGCCCATCAGTACTATCTGCTCTTTTGCAGATGGCACAGTGTTAGGTAATCCCTGTCTGTGCATATGTGTGCATTTCCACAAGTATCCAGGAAGCTTTATGAAATTAAACGCAGAAACATTGTTGACTGTCAGTCGTACAGTACTTTCTGACTCCCTTTCTCTTTGTGTTTCTGCAGGCCTGGTGTGTATGAAGTCCAGCAGCTCAGTAGTGGAGCTCGTCATGCTTCTGTGTTCACAGGCAAGTCTGGCATCTTTATCTTTTCTTATCCATGTCTTTGGACCCCCTCTTGAGTGTAGTAAATCCACAGCTTAGAGTGGACAGTGAGCCATCTAGTTCCTTATCTTTCCTCCACACTACCTTGTCTACCTTTCTGCATTCACCCCGTCGCTGAGTTAGGGCAGAGAAAATGGAGAGAAGGCATCTTTGGCTGCAAATATTGGTCTGAGGGTCAAGGGTGGCCGACCTGTCCACGTCACCTTTGACCTGAGCGCCGGCCCTTGTGGCCTGGACCAAACTGATGAGGAGGGATAATGTAGATTTGATGGTGCTTTGAATTGATTATCCCTCTCTTCTCTGTTGTCTTGTGGGTGTTCTGTTGCCAAGTTTATTTAGGCGCTGCTGGATTCATGAATACTAATTCAGGGATCATAAGGAGGCGTGGGCTGATCAATAGTCGGGGATGTCATTAGATCACTTCAAGATGGCTGAGACACAGTCACCAAAAGCTGTTAAGTTCCTGTTTGTGGACCAAATACCTCATATTTACATGTAAATTCATCTCATACAGAAAGTGTATTTATTCATAGTGTAACACACAAACAGTTGTTGTACACACACCCACACAATGACAAGGACAACAGATGACTCCCCTCTGGCCCTGTTTGTTTGACTCTTTACCATTTAAAGCACCTCATGAAAAAACAAAGCTCTCCAATAATACAAAAACATATCTGATTAATGATGCACCTCTCGCTGCTGCACTTTTTTTTATCAGCTTTATTTTCTAAAGAAAAAGTGCCTGTCATCTGACCAAATTTCTTCCACCTTCCCCCTCTTTTAACCCCTATATCCTGTTGGGTCCCCATTATTCACTTTGCTTCTTCTCTAAAAAGGTAATACACTGAGATTACACATCTGTTTGCACGTCTGTGGCCATGCATAGATTAGGGCTAGTGGGACACACGGAGGGCATGGGAGCCCCATAATATTCAGAAATGAAGGAATAGTAAGAGTGAAAGCCAGATAGAAAACCAACGAGGGAAGAATGACAGCTTCTAATGCACCTATTTGTCATATCTGTCAGGGTGTTGTTTAATGCTAATCTAATCAAAGGCAAAATCTTGGTGATTGTGCCACTGCACAGCTCATGCCTTGCGTCCCCCGTTGGTCCCCCAGCCCAAGCTATTTCTCCTTTCTCTGTGCTCTCTCTCTCTCTGTCAGGGAGAGAACCAGAGATTGGCCAGCATAGTGTTGATTGCTTCAATAAATCATCCAACCAAATTTTCTCACAGCTAATGCAAATGTAATTTTATTGTTGTGTAAAGAGGGAAGGAGGGGGTAGGTAGGTAAGGGCGATACGCTGCTTCTCACTGGGGAAAAGAGGAAAACAGAGACAGACTTTCCTCTGGGCTACATCACAATGTATAATTATTTGTGTGTTTGTTCTTGTTGTGGGGCTGTGAGACTGAGCCAGTGCCATGATTGATGACATTATTTAGCAGGTTTGTTGGGCCCTCTGGCACAGGAAGCGCTCAGTTCTCTCAGCCTTCTCACAGGAAGTACCATCTCATGACTTCTTCCTGCCTTCAAGACAGCAAGCGGAGTAGATGGAGATGATATTGATTGATTATTCTCACCCCTCCACCCCTCGCACTTTCATTGGAGATGCGATGCGATGCCATCTCTGGAGAAATTTTAATTAATTTCCCAAGCTTTGAGATGGAGTGGAGCCAGGGTGAGAGGTCAGGAGGCTGGGGACTGCAGAGCAGTTTTTAATCAGGGATCCTATGAAAGTTGCATTGGTGGCCACATCAGCTGAGCATTGAGGAGGTGATTGTAAACCGCAGTTTGATAGCACTCCATTTCTAAACAACTGCAACAGTGTTCCCAATTAAAGGACCATTTGATCAGACATTAACTGTTGGGGTGGCATGCTGCCTTGTTTTGTGCTATAATATTGATCCGAAGGGATTGCTGAATATACAAAGTGAGGATTAATGATCATAAACTGTGCCTGACACTTTATCAGGCACTGACACTCGCTGTTCAGTATCTTAGGGCTGTAACTAACTTTATTATTTACATTATTGATTAATCAGCAGATTCGCTTTTCCATTAATTGATTGGTCTATAAAATATCAGAGTGATACTGATGTTGACCTGGTTAAAAAAAAAAAAAAAAAAAAAGACAAGTTTCCCAGTGTACGAGTTGACATTTAAATTGCTTTCTTTATCCAACAGCAGCCCAAAACCCAAAAGGATTCATTTAACTATCAGAGAAGACTAGTGTGACAGGCTGCAACCAGTGATTTGGTTTGTTTAAAATTACAATAACTCCATTGTCAAAGTCGATGCTGATTTTCTGTCAGTTGGTATTTCAGCTCAGTTGTACATATTCAATCTGTAAATAGGAATACTCCTACATTTTTAAACCAGTTTTTTGGATGCATACACAGTAGTGTAACACCAATTAGACAGCAGTAATGACTCAACACACACATATATAATGAACCTTTGGTTTAAGAGGCTCCCACCACTGACTCTTAAGTTGGAACAGTACCCTGTTTGTCCATCCTTTGACAAGTTCAAATTAGCATGTGATACATACATAGGTGCTAATTAGATGGTTTCATGTAAATGGGGATGTTTTATAAGGTGAGTATCAAAACATCATAATCCTTTCTAGGTTATTGAATGTGATGGCTTCTTGATAGCAGGTCTTGCATATTACATGGGTATCATAGGAGTTCTCTAGTGACCATCTACTGAGGGTCTAAAGAGGCACTCTCTCCTTTTTCCCTATGGCTCTGATTTGCCTAGACAGTTTCCCTCTCCCTCTCACACTTGTTTTCTCCTATCTTTGTCATATTTATGGCCAGTGTGTTGTTTCCTGGGTGCATTTCTTGAAGTGGCTTCCACCCAAAACATCAGATTAATAAATAATGGGCTTGGACAAGAGAAAGAGCTTTCCATAGCGCTCAGTGCTGTCTGTCCAGAGCTTTGAGAAATCATCTCATCGGATACTGGACAGTCTACAGTGAGCAGAGACCCATAAATCTCCTCAGTAGCTGCATTTGTGTCCTGTAGATCAACCATTATTGTCTGGCCCCTCTGTCAGCCCATCTATCCTTATGCCATTCATCAGAACTGCATCCTGTACATGGAGTGGAAGGATGCTGGTTTAATGACGGTCAGCACCAGATACTGTAGGAAAGACTGCTCTTCCTCACTACTCGAAAATAATAATAATGTTAAACATGTTTTAGACTGTTTCGGTGTTCAGTGTGGTATAATTGCACAAAGTAATGCTCCTTAATATGCATTTTCTTCTGTTGTTTAAATGTTAAAGGGTCTGTTCACTTTAAATAAAACAAACATTTTTCACTTATGTCAGATATATAGCACTTAAGATCATTTTGTTTTTATTTGTTTAGGTGTAGATCATAAAATATCTTACTCCACCTCAGTACAATGCTGTATGTGGTGTTCACGGCAATCAAAACATAAATTTGGATTTATAACATTTTGCAGCATTGTCTTTTCAGAAACGGTTATTCTTGCAACAACAGATGGGCACTTTCTGTGTATCTCCTGAAAAACACAGTGAAACCAGTGAATCAGCCAGAGCAGGTGGAACACACTTTCTGAAAAGAGAGTCGTTATGTTAGGGACATTCATGGTCCCTGCAGAATGAATCCCTCTTTGGTGATCTCCTGACTTTTCCTCTAGTGCCACCAACAGGTCAGCGTTTCCAGCTATGTAGTGAAATTTCTCAGCTTTTACTAATTGATGTTGTATGAAACTTGGTAGAAACATTTGTGCCCCTCTCAGTACGAGTTCTTCTTGGTGATTTCCCAACTTTATCTTCCAGCACCAGGAGGTCATAATCTAATTTGTCCATTAACTTTATTTAACCAGACACCTGCAAAAATGACACTCTCATCAGCCTCACCTCTACTTTATGTTTAGCACTGATTAGCAAATATAAGCACTAACTGAAGATGATGAATACAGTAAAGCTTATTTATTAAATATTAGCATTTTAGAATTGTGAATCTGCTGATGTTAGCATTTAGCTCAAAGCACTCCTGTGCCTCACAGAGCTGCTAGCATAGCTATAGACCTTTTGCCTTGTTTTAGTCTCCGCCATTAACTTTAGGTGGCAGCAGAAAGCTTGGAGATGAATAATCTGGTGAAATAAATCATTTGCACTACTATATAGAATTGGCATCAATTTTTCAATTTTAACATGTGGTATTTAGAAATTACACATTTAAATGGTTGCATTCTAAATTATTTTCAACTTAGTGGTTTATTGAACTTTGACATACAGTATACACACCATCTGTGATCTAAGCAAATAACATTTTGTTGCAGATGATCCTTTAATATTAGTTCAGTAAGATCAGTGTTAACCTGCTAATGCAGTTACTGCACATTATCGTATGTTCCCATCCAGCCTCAACAAAGTTAACCTGTTTAACAGATGGGCACCTCTCTCTCAGTCAGCAGGGAGGGAGACATTGACTTCCCCAAACACTTGGCTCCTCCTGACCCTTGACCCTCTGACCTCCAGGTTAGAAGTAGAGAGTGGTGGAGGCATAGAAGTTTAAGCCCCTGCAGGGGACAGGGAACAGGTCGTGAGTGCACGGTCATCATGCTCCACTCAATCAATAGCATAATCTGAGAAACAAGGGAAGCAATGGGTAACTGAGGAGGCTTGAAAAAAAACAGCAAGTTGGGCTATAAACGCATTTATTTTTGTATGTATATATATATTTTTGACTTTGTTAGGTGCTTATTTTTAAAGTTATGTTGGTGTAAGTAGGATCTGTTGATTATATTGCTCAGTAGCAATTTATATCTGTCAGTGGACATATTTCTTCTCCCCAGTAAGTGAGGCTTTGATGGATCAAGAACAGACCGTGTTGTATGAAGCACTTGGGGAGCTGAGAGAGAGTTGAGAGAAGTGGTGAGGAATGTGATGAAACCAGGGGACAAAAATCCTTTCCCCATCG